GGGCCATTCTTAGTTGCAGACACTGAAACATACAACCATGCAACAGGCAATTATGAATGCAAAAGATTTCTAGGCTAGGGTAAAACTACTGAACTCCTAAAGCTGTAAGAGTAACTCTTCCTTGCTACTTGCCAATACTAGTGAAAGCACCAGTAATACCTACTTTAAAAGAAAGCAATGCTCTAATTTCTAATGATGTTGCTACAAGATGAAACTAAAATAAGACGACTCATTTTTAAACATACCAGAATTTATGTATCCAATCAAGGGGGGTCCCCTCCAAAGTTGTTACCTGAAAAGGCAACAAACTTAAAAACGATGCTTCCAAAACATCAGAAAAGATGGACGAGACCTCTAAACACAAAACTACAAAACATTACTGAGAGAAATTAAATATCTAATTAAACAGAGTTAATGGAACAGAAGACTCAATTATCATCAAGAATATAATTCTCCTCAAATTGTTCTGTAGATTCAACACAATTTCAAACATTCCAGCAGATAGCTGTGGAAATTTATAAGCAAATTCTAAAATGTATAAGGAAATGCAAAGGGCTAACAACCAATACAGTACTGAAAAAGAACTAAAGTTAGGAGACTTTGGCTATCAGATACAAAGAGAATAAAGCTAAAGAAATTAAGGCAATGTAATATTGGCACAAGGGTTAACAACAACAACAAAAAACAGGGCCACAGAACAGAATAGACAGTCTAGAAAAAGACCCACACATACATGGTCACTTGCTTTGTGACAAAGATATCTCCATGATGCAGTGGGGGAAAGGTTGTTACTAAGTCAAGTACAGACCTAATATGGACCTAAATGTAAAAGGGAAAACTATAAACATTCCAGAAAGCAACACAGAAGATGTTTTCAGTGGGTCATAAAGGGTTCCAATCAAAGAAATTAACAAACTGGACTTCACTGAAATTAAGAACTTCTGTTCCTCAAAAGGTATCATTAACAAAATGAAAACATAAACTACAGAGTAGAAGAAAATATCTGCAACACAGACTCATCCAGACTATACAAAGAACTCCTACAAATCAACATGAAAGATAGCCAAGGTTAGAAAATGGGCCAAAGACTTGAAGAGGACTTCAAAAGAAGAGAACATTCAACCTTTTTTTTCCTTTTTGTGGAGACAGGAGTCTAATTTTGTTGCCCAGGCTGATCCCGAACTCCTGAGCACAAGAGATCTGCCTGCCTTGGCCTCCCAAACTGCTGGGATTACAAACATGAGCTAACGCGCCCGACAAGAGGACATTCAAATGGCTAACATCTAAAAAAGCATTCAACATCATTAGTTATTGAAGAAATGCAAGTGAAAACCACCATGAGATACCACTACAAACACCAGGAATAGTCTGAATTTTTAAAATGGATAATACCAAGTTTTAGCAAAGATGCAGAACAACTAATACTCTAATACTCTGACTGATTGCAGAAAAAATTGATATAATCACTTTGGAAAACATTTGGCATCTGGCATTATCTCTGAAAAAGATTATTGGCCAGGCACAGTGGCTAACGCCAGTAATTTCAACACTTTGGGAGGCCAAAGCAGGCAGATTGGTTAAGCTCAGGAGTTCAAGACCAGCCTGGTTTTTGAAACCCCGTCTCTACAAAAAACACAAAAATTAGCTGGGCATAGTGACGTGTGCCTCTGGTCCCAGCTACTCAGGAGGCTGAGGTAGGAGGATCACCTGAGCCCAGGAGGTCGAGGCTGCAGTGAGCCATGATCACACCACTGCATTCCAGCCTGAGCAACAGAGTGAGACCCTGTCTCAAAAAAAAAAAAAAAAAAGAAAAGAAAAGAAAAAAAGAAAAAGATTGTCTTCTTGACCAAATTTTAGTCAGGCTCATTTGAGTCCTGTACTCACCTAAGCTTCCTTCTCCATCCTTGTAGAATCCAGTTTTAGTAAGAATCCTACTAAGTCAGTTTAGCCAGAATCCCCTAACACCATATTTCATCACCCGCCCTTGCTATCTGACCACATTCTTCATTCCCTACCATCTCCCAGCAATGTCTGATCACCCTGGCTTTGGCCTGCCTTCAGCAAGAATCCTGTTAGGTCAATTTAGCCAGAATCACCACTTACCTCTTAGTAACTTTCCCTCCACTGATACCCTCTCTGCCTAACCCTGCTCCTTGGCTATACATTCCCACTTTTCCTTGTACTTGGAGTTGAGCCCAATTTCTCTCCTCCAATGCAATACTCCCTATATCTATCACAATAGTCCTAAATAAAGTTTGCCATACCATTTCAACAAGTGTCAAGAATACTTTTTTCTTTAACTGCTATTAAAGCTGAACGTATGAATATTCAATGCCTTAGCATTCCACTCCACTTCCAGAGATACACCAAACAGAAATACACATATATGTTCAATAAATGTGTAAGAATGTTTATGGCAGCTTTAGTCACTGTAGTCCCAAAATGGAAATAACCCAAAAATCCTTCAGTACTAGAATGGATACCAAAATTGTGAGATATTCACACAATGGAATACTATACAATAAGAATGACTGAACTACTGTTACATAGAACAACATAGATAAATTTCACAAACACGATGTTGAGTTAAAAAAAAGCAAGACACAAAAGAAAATAGTGAATTATTCCATTTATAAAATGTTCAAACGGAGATAACACTTACATATGGCAATTAAAGTCAGATTAATGGCTACCTTTCAGGAAGACTATTTGATAGCTATGACCCAGAGCTCACCACATCAAAAGAAACACACTTCATGAAGGACAAGTATTTAAGCTAGAGTGGAGAAATGAAAACGACCAGGGGGAAGTCGAACAGTCACTCCCCTGGCACTCTAGTTTTTCCTTCATTCTCTTTGAAGAATTCAGTACTTTTCACTGCCATATTATCTGATTTCGCCTCCACCCCACACACCCCAACCACACACACAAATAAATCAATGGTCCATAAAATCTTCCTTCACAAAAATTACAGCAGGACCTATCGCTTTATTTCTCCCCTTTTGGAAGAAAAGGAAACCATCTCTATCACCCAGAGGAACTTACCTCCAAATTCAGCAAAGAACCAGAGTTTACAACTCCAACTTCATACTTCATCAAAACCCTACAGAGCTGGCCCCATTATCTTTGGAGTAAAGCTTCCAATTTTTACAGTATCTTTCTATTAATTACAACAATAATGAAATAGAATGCTTGTAGACTGAAGGTGGACACTAAAGTAGTATCCACAAGAAATTGTTTGTCAAATCCAAATTGGAAGACTAGCAAAAGTTATTTCCATTCAAAATACATTTGTAGAGGGAGCATTATCAAAAACTGTGTTTAATTGTGTTAACTGTGATGAAATGCCACTCCTGACTGCTAAGGATATAAATGGTATTAGAAGATCCCTACATGGTTAGAAATGCCTTTTTTACTCTTGTCTGGAGTATGCTGAAGAACCCTTGACTAACCTCCAGTTCCTCTAATTCCATATATTCACTTACCTTTAATTTCACAAACTGCCATCTTTATGCTTCCTTTGCTCCCTTTGCAAACATCATCCTGTGAATCATAGTAGGATAAGATTCCATTATCTAAAACAAACCAACGAGGCTGCCAACCTAAAAAGATCATAAATAACAAAAGGTCAATTGGAAAGACATTACTTTTACCACATAGAAAACTGTGATTTCAAAACTTGCTATCCACATTATTTCTTGGCTCTCAAATAACATTCTGACAATGAAATTTTTAATCACCAAGGCTTACCAAAAATGTTTTTGCATCAGTCTCCACTTTACTGGGAGAGATTTCTGGAGCAATCTCCAGAGCAGCAAAAACACAGGGAGTAATACTTCTAATTCTAGCTCACAGTGTTCTCATTAACAACCCATAAGGCCCATCCTTAGCAATAGCCCTAAACCAGGTATAGCATAACTGCCCTCTTTTCCTAAAAAGGAACAGAGTTGGGGTTATGATATTAAGGGAAAAGCCATGGAAGACAGGGATTCTAGCCTTACCTATAGTATCATTCTTTAATTGGATAATCATACCCTGGGGGCGAATCTTTTCATTTCAATAAATCTCTAAAATTCCCAGTCTCTAAAATGTATAGGTTAAACAAGATGACCTCTCAGGTGCCACCTGGCCCTCTAATTCTGCAATGTGACTCTTATGAAATACATACTTCTAAGCAAACTCCCTTAAACACAGTGAGTGCTAAATGAATTCCAGTCTCTTAAATAGAAGCTACATACCCTATGGTGAGAACATAGATTCCCCATGTGATCCCCTCTTCCCTTGTCTGCAGTTGCACAGCTAGGGCAGAAATCCTAGAAACTGCAGTTGTTCAACTGATATTTATTCAGTGACCAGAGCTCGCATCTATCACAGACTTGGCTCCATGCCAAAGCTGGTGACAAGGATGATGGCTTTCCTTGGCACCCAATTCCCACTCCTCTTTGAAGCCAAACTTGGTGTTCCCTGGAGTCTTATCAAGCATGCTACTAATTTACAACAGTTCACTGACTATTAACATGGTGACCATGCTGGGGGCAGCGTGACTGTCCTTGTTCTTTCCGTGACTATTAAATAACAATTCAGCACAAGTGTTCATGGCTAAAATGTACATTTTAAACCGTGGGTGTTCAAATCCTGGTCACTTTTGCCATAGCCTGCCACATGATTAATCTGATCTTTCCAGAGTCAGATAGTGCCGAGAGGGGAGATGGGTCAATCATCCTTACACTTTAATACAGATCCAGGACTTAATTCCCCAAAAGGATTTATCTCTAACACTTTTGAAATGACAACACTGAGTCATCATAAAAGATTAAATTTTACTTTGTAACCTTGTTTAGGAAGGCAGGGAATGCAGTAATACAGTTCAGAAAGATGGATATCTAAAGCAATTAAAAACCAGCAATTTTCAGGTTCCTGGAAGATTCCTTTTTGTGAAACAACAGAGTATTCCCTAGTGAGACTTAAACAAATTAGAAAGTAAGTTATTTTGGTATATGGACTTTATCTTGCTCAACACTGCATTCCCAGCAACTAGAATGGTGCCTGGCACGTAAGAGGTACCAAAAGAATCTATTTCTCAAGTGACTGAATAAATAAATGAATGAATAAATACCCCCAAAAGTGAGATATTTCATGGATTGCTGCTGCTGTTGTTGTTTTGTTTTTTTGAGACAGGGTCTTGCTCTGCTGCCCAGGCTGAAGTAGAGTGGCATGAACATGGCTCACCACAGCCTCGACCTCCTAGGCTCAAAAGGTCCTCCCACCTCAGCCTCCCAAGTAGTTAGGACTATAGACACGCCACTGAGACTTGCTAATTTTTTAATTCTTTATAGAGATGAAGTCTCACCATGTTGCCCAGGCTGGTCTCAAATTCCTGGACTCAAGTAATCCTGCCACCTTGGCCTTCCAAAGTGCTAGGATTACAGGTGTGGACCACCACACCTGGCAGATATTTCATATTAACCATGAGAATATAGACATACAATATATCTTTGAGAGTATATTGTATTGATCATGCATGGAAATGATAAAAACTATCTTTCCAAACACTAATTTACCTTATCAAACAAATTATAAGCAGTGGGTGGTGAAAATACACTCCTCCACCCAGGTCTAGTGTGCCTATAGAACAAATTACGATTTTGCAAGCCTGCAGTACTGCAATTCACTATCTCTTTAAAACAAATATTGGGCAAAATGATTCATTTAGAATTTGCAGCAACATGAAAGGTGAGTGGTTGAACATATTAATATAATCAAGCCTGTTAATTATCTCTACACACTTTTTGAAGAAACATTTAATAAAACAATTTCTAATTGATTCACACACTCAAATAACAGAGGGTAATATCTGTGAAAAAGAGTCACAGGTATTCCCTTTTTAAAATTCTTTTTTTTTTTTTTAATTCTTTTTATCTCAAACTACCAAATGTTACTGAAATTCTTACTCTCCACAAAGGATTCTCAAATAACACTATCTTTTTTTTTTTGAGATAGAGTCTCACTCTGTTGCCAAGGTTTGAGTGCAGTGGTGCAATATGGGCTCACTGTAACCTCTGCCTCCCAGGCTCAAGTAATTCTCATGCCTCAGCCTCCCAAGTAACTAGGACTACAGGTGCACGCCATCATGCCTGGCTAATTTTTTGTATTTTTTGTAGGGACGGGGTTTCGCCATGTTGGCCAGGTTGGTCTCAAACTCCTTACCTCAAGCTATCTGCCCATCTCAGCCTCCCAATGTGCTAAGATTACAGGCATGAGCCACTGTGCCTGAACAACACTATCATTACACTGAAAGATCACTTAGTATGAACAGCTGCTCATCCTAATGACCTATGATGAACTAAAATTAATCATCAGCACGCTGTTGACTCAAATTTAACTCTTAAAAATGAAATTCTTCCAACCAAAAGATTTCTTTTCAACCAGCTTCTACAATGCATACTAGAAGTTGACTAAATGCCCTGCAAAGACTACAATCTAAATCACATGCGGTGAAAAGCTCAACCACTGGTTATTTAGTACTATAGGAGATGAGGAAATGGCCACCAAGACCAGGTTTCACCTCAGTTCTTAAATTATGACTCATCTCAGTAATGACCCAATGGTTCCTCCGGCATGACCTCCACAACACCATGCTTAGGAATACTTGCAATGAGATGAGCATTTGCATCTCAAAGCATACAAGCTACTGTCTTTTTGTTTTATTTTGCTTTTTGAGACAGGATCTCGTTCTGTTAGCCAGGCTGGAATGTGTGGGTACAATCATAGCTCACTGATCCTAGCTCACTGCAGCCTCCATTTCTCTAGCTCAAGTAATCCTCTCGCCTCCGCCTCCTCAGTAGCTGGGACTACAGGCGTGCACCACCACACCTAGCTAATTTTTTTGTTTGTTTGTTTGTTTGTTTGTTTGTTTAGTAGAGACCACATCTCCCTGTGTGGCACAGGTTGGTCTTGAGCTCAAGCAATCCTCCCACGTCCGCCCCCCAAAGTGCTGGGACTACAGGGGTGAAGCACTCTACTGTCTTTAACAGTTAACACTATACCTCAACCAAACAGTATAACTGCTCTCACAAGGGCCCAAATGAAAATGGCCAATAAAACATATTTATCTAACTTTTAAATGTTTCCCATTAAAACATGTCACTTATAGAAATAAATTGACTTTTTAGTTTGAACAAAATAAAACATCTGTGTATCATAAATGTTAAAAGCATTTGCTGCTATCAATCTGGCTTTAGCATTCTAAGAAATCAAAAAGCAGGTATAACTGTAGCCCAGTGCTTTTGCCTGAAAAAGTTTATGTGCACATTTTGCACAAGATCAGGTGGACACAAGTTGAGAGTACCACACAATTACTGAGGGATTCGATACTTTTGGCAGAGGGAATAAGTGGGCAGCAAGTCATGATTTGCCTATGCTAGACCCCCCAAAAAAATCTGTTTACTGTTCAAATTTATGTTAAAACCATCCTCTCACTTAGTGAGGTCATGGAATTCTAGAGTTGGAAGGCATGTCCAGGACAAAATAGCTAATTACCCTGGCCTTACCAGACTGAGGTCCTGAAAGAATAACTGACTTGCCTTGATTGTTGGTTGATGGCAGAGATTGGACTACAACTCAAATTTAAGGAGCTTTTAAATAAGCCAGACTGCCAATGTCATGGAAAGGAGCCCTTTCCTGCTGGCCTCTGATTTCTTCAAAGTTCTCCCTTCCACCCACTTCACGGGTGAAAGTGACTTGCCTGCTCCTTTTCTGTGTATTGGCACTGTCTTCCACTATTTCCCACACAGTTAACAGAATTCCCCAACGTAAGGATACTTCATTGACAATCCCTAAGAGAATATTATCTGGGGACAGCTTCCAAAATCATGCTCGCTAAGCTCGAACAACCTCAACAAGACAACTTTTTAAAATAAAATGTTAAGGAAATTAGAAGAAATACAGAAAAGAGTTCTTAAAATTAAATCTTGTAGTTGAAACAATTAAAGGGTCCTTTCCAGTCCAATACTCTGACAACTCAGTTATTAACAAAATGCTCTTAAAGTATGAATACTAAGTGTGAATAAGGACGGAGATCGCAACAACACATGTAGGGTGACTGAGAATTGTTCCGGAGGCTACAGGAGGCAAAGATTGGTATTATCACACTAGCAAGTAAGTGGCAGGTGCATTTCCCACCCTCTAGAAGGTGCGCAGCCTTAAACCCTCCCCTGAAGAGGCCAGAAAGACTCAATAAGCCCTGGAATCGAGTACAGCGAATTCGCTCTGAGGGTCCGCGGAGGCCAGACGGAGGAAGAGAAGCCCCGGACCCGCCTTCTCCGCAGCCTCCTGCCTAAGCCCTTCCAAGCCCCCCGCCTCTCCCCTCTTCCCTCATCACGCGAGCCCCCATACCTGTGAGATAGTTGGTCCACTTGTACAAAACCCCCTCCATGCTTCAGAGCCCCACACCGCGCATCCTCCCGGCCCGGCGCCAGCCGCGGTGATGGGGTAGGCGCGGGGCC